TCTGCTTGAATTAATCAACTTTTTATTGTAAGTAGTTAGATGAATGATTACAACCGACAGTTCATTACAAGATATATATTTTAAGTGATAAAGAAACCGCTATTGATGTCACCTAAAAGCGAAACGAAAGCTACCTTTTTGAGCATTTGAAGGTAAAGAAATATGGTACAAGACTTTCCAGTTATCAGTTCCATTGATAGAATTTGTAAAAACCTTTCTTCATGTTACCTCTGTGAAGGCATGATAAATGAAGGTATTTCTTCATCCTGACATACCGTAAGTTAAGATTTTGATCAAATGATTTTACTTCAGTGTAAAGAGACACTATCTTTAAAACAACCCTTAGTAATAAAAACATTGAACTGAAGATTTGATTCCGATATTTCATCTTTATTTGTAAAACATTTCACGTTTTATTAAAATAGTATTAGTGTGAACCTTTTTATAAGTGACTGTTAAGGATTAGGTAGAAATTACTATATTTGATATTACTTGTACCAAGGAAAAGCTTTGGCATATTAATTGGTTTGTATAATCCTTATATAGTATTTGTGTATCACAAATTTAAAATTAATATACTACGTATGTTTGTTGTCCTTTTTATAATCGAGGCATAATCTCATCATCATCAACAGCAACTAGGTCTCAAGGATGATAATATCTCCTACATCTTATAATTTATGATTCTTCTTAAATAAATAATAATCTGAATTTCTGTTTAATATCTCTTATTTTGTAGTCACTAATAACTAAATCTAATATTTGATAATAATATCATCAACATTGTAGTCATGACTATGAATATTTTCCTTACATTAGTAATTCAAGTGAACGTGTTAATTGTATTGTTTCACAGCATTTCGTTCGTAAGGCGCATGTCAGCAGTCATCGAGCGTCGCCCGCCCCGCCGCCAGCCACCGGCCACCACCGAACACTCAATGTATTCTGTTATAAATGTTTGTTGCTATTTTTATATTATAACACATACATATATATGAAGGTCATTTTATAACTCTTTACTTTGTGTATAGTATCATTAAGCCGTTATTAAACGTTTGTTAAGCCGTGCCCTGTCGACCCTCCTGCCTCCACTAGGGTCGACCCGTTCAGACTTCTAATAGTTAGTGAAGGGAGAACCACAAACGATGATTAAATTTAATTTACATTTAACATGCCTCTCACAAGTCTCCCGGTTACTTGATGAATAGTAAACTTTAATATAATCGTAGTGCTTACAATATATTTTCTCATTTCTAAATTTTGTACATATAATTAGAGAAGCCTCTGAAAATTACTTTAAATAACTTGCTAACTCAATAATAAATAATTGTTATTCAGTATATATTTGTATACATATATATAACAGTGTTCATGTCTAACACTAGGGTTGTCGCGTGTATTCTCTCGTGTCGCGTGTCGTGGCCAAGTTCAAACAGCTAACAACTACACAGTTTAATGTCATGTATTTTTATTTTAGTTCATACAATCTATCATTTTCATTGCGTTAGAAAAGCATTTAAATTCGTGAGGCCTTTATCAAACCTTTTTCTCGATAATTATAAAGATGATGTTTAAAAGCTGTCAGAAAAATGATTTTTAATAATATTTTTAAGAGATCAAAGAAAGAATATTGCGACCATCAAATAAAGTTGTCAGTACATAACTTATTGATGTTCTTTGATTGAAGCGTGGTTGAAGATGAACTGGGTTTTATTATATTTATATATTAGGAGATGTATATTATATATTAATAGTTGAGTTATACGAGGTTATCATATTTATTAGTACCTCATCATGATCTACCTCACTCTGTGTACATGAGAGTCGTCACGTCATATTCATTCATTATATACAAGGAAACTAATTGAATCACAACACGGGTCTATCATAGTTGTGATGTACTCGTATAATCTTCATTCATATAAGTTACAACTGTGTAACTGTTCATTCATTTATCATGATAATGTTTGCTGGAATTATAGTTTGATGTAAATTCGTCAATTAAATACATTATGTTATATTATTTGGATTTATTACAATAAAAGAAATGTTTTTGTGGTTGCTTAATATCCAGGTTCAAGGCTCAGTTACTGTTACTCAAGTATTAGACTTAGACTTCTTAATGAATGGATTATCCCAAGGTGGTCGTGCAAATATCCTACAGTTGTAAGGAATAGGGTAAAGATAAAAAAACTTAGTTATAAGAGTACTTTTATATTGTTTTATATAATAAGTGTGAAGTATTTATAATCAAATTCCGACTAGTCTTTAAATACTTTGTAAAATCGATAAATCTATCGTCTGCGCAGTCAACCAAACTTTAAATATCATTTTCTATTTTTCCGACAATGACACATTAAATATTTTTAATATTGTTATTTATGTGAATGTTCTTAGATACTTATGATAACAAAAATTTACAAAAATATCCTTACAAAATGTAATATTTTTTTATAATGTTATTTAATATTTTCAAAGTAATAATTTTAATGTCACGTCTTCTATTCTATCTGACAAATAGCTCAAGTTTGTTCAAAGTCACAAATCAAGTATTCTGATAATTTGATGTTTAAAGTGTTCCCCTACAACCTACAGATAACAGATCTTCATTTAAAATGTTTTTCAGAAAGTACCATTATCTAAAAATACTTCATAAATTTATGTGAGTTTTATAACTTTTAATATTATATGTTTCTGACTCTTTTAAATATATTACGCAAGGATTTTATTATTCGAAGTAAAAAGAATCAGTAATCCTTAATTTCAAAAATGAAATAACATATAATTTCTGTGAAACGTTCAATCTTATGTTGTTGGTATTAAAGTAATCCTCCCTTACTTACTTCAAAGCTCTTATATACCCTATAGATAATAACTTTCTTTTAGTGAGTACAGGACAAGAGATAACACGATTTATTAAGAATTATTATAATATTATGGAAAATATTAGTAATGATTAAATAAATTTTTAGATTACATTTTTAATTCACTTTCTGTATCCATTCAAATGTTTAGATATAATGAAAAAATCGTTAAAAAGATATCAAGAATGTTCAGAACTCGTTTAACCTAATATATACACATATATGTATTTACAATATCATGGTCTGAAAAACAGCGTGAGCCATTGAAAAAATATCTTTTCTATACAAGATTTTTTTTTGTATTTTTTTAGATATATTCAAAAAGCTCTAAAAACGTTCAAATATCAGAGTGGGTTATAGTTCGCTCCGTAGACTGTCATGTACATTATACAGTATGAGAACACTAATATATTGTTTCATAGAATCATATTTGAAGAACCAACCAATAGTATGAGCGGACTGCTCTTGTACATACAACTTAACAAGCTAAAAAAATATTCAAACATGGCCTAGAATTATACTGAACCTACTCGTCTATGCAGTTATAAATTAGATCACGCGTTTCCAGTACATATTGTTATAGTGGTTAAGTGTATAATGGCTTGCATCATTTAGTTTGTAGTCTGCACCCGCTGCACCCCCGTTGGATGTGTTCCAAGGCCACTCCAACACATCTAACAAGAGCACTTAACATTTGCAATCAAAGCGTTCATTAAAATATAAAATCGTTATTAATATAAATGTGCAAGAAAACAGCAACCGACTATAGAGGAGAGTGTTTCAAACAGAGTTAAACTATTCCATGGATTTATGGAGTAACGAGGAGGTTACGACACCATTGAAATCATACCACCATATGAGTATAGGACATACATACACACACATAAGCATTAAGGTTCAACTAAAAATTATACCACCAACTCTAATAAGTACTTGTCTGGCTAGTACAATCGTGAAACACAACCTATATTTACCATCTTTTAATAATCAATTTAAAGTATTTAAGGGTAAATTTTAATTATATTAAGGACTAACTTACTGAGCTCTTGTTATTACTGCAATATTTCTAAAATACTATGATAGGTATGGTGTAGTCTGAGCCATTTTTACTATAAACCTTACACAAGTTGCTGGAACCAGTTTCTATATGTAATAAGAAATAAAATGGATTATTAAAATGACATACATTTGGCACAGAAACTTACTGAAATGTTCAAATATATTTGTGTTGTTAGGAATTATTGTAAATTATATAATCTTAATCTAATTTTCATTCAAGGGAGACTCATAACAAGGGTAACGAGTGTAATGGTGTTGGTCCACGTTAATTGATCATGAATTTTCAGTTCCTACACAGTCTCCTTACTGATATATTCAGTGTTTCCCATAACTTAACCTATTTAATTCCATCTACTCAGACAATTAGAAGCTTAGTTTTCCACTTCGTACATACTGATAAGCAATGTTAATAAGTAGTCTTGTTAGTCACCATGAATGGGACATGGCTGAGATTTTTAATATAAAATTTTGATCGTGAACCCTTTGTAAATATCACTAAATTTACATTAAAGTTCATCTGAAATCATCATCAATAAAGAATTATCAACTGAGTTGTATGATATTGAAAAAAAAGTGATAATTACAGAATGATCTAAAAAATCATCAATCATGTGTTATGGTTTAGTTGATAAAATCATTGAAATAAATCCGATAATAATTTAACAGTGTGTTTTAAATGACACGAGGTCCTGTGCGTGTTCACGAACACTTTCGGGTCAGGTACAATGGTTGCTGATGATGAATTGATGATGAGATGAACGATAGAATCATTATAAGAACAAACATTGATACTGAAAATATTCACTGTAAAACCTTTATATTAAACAAAATAGCTCTTTGGTTATATGATATCAAATAATTTATAATGATAATTGAATTGGAAGAATGCTCTAAACGTTTATTAAAAAACAAGACAAAGAATAGATTTGTATGTTAAACAATGAAAGTAATGATTTATATATTAAATGACTAGCATCAGTAACGTAATGTATGTCGATGCTCCTCGCGTCTTAAGGTTAGGTTCACGGAGTAATTAATATAATATTAATAAAGTCATATCGGACTGGTTGTTCAGGGATGGAGCCCGTCAGCCGTCAGTATATTAGTGGTCCGGGGCGGCCTCGGCGTGTTATCGATCGCCTCCAGTCTATATTTAGCGATCGACCCATCTGCCTCTATACCTACATGAAAGTTTCAGAGGCGCGCGATTGGCGAGGCGGCTGTGACGTCACTACGAGCCCGGCTCCAATGAGGCTCGCAGGCTCTGCGCATGGCCCTCATCCTCCCGGCCGGTTCAGCTGCCAGTCTCAGTCTGGGCTCGCGGGACCTGGTGTGCCAAGCTCGGCCCGATACAGCACAAGGTTAATATCACATTCATATACCGCCATCTTTATTTCTTGTCAAATTAATATTGTTTTGATCTCCGTTTCATTATATCGCCATGTTTGTGTTCCTGTGTTTTGTATCGTATGTATGTATGTCGTTTGCTATGTTGCGGTTGTTACGTAACGAGTGTGCGAGCGAGTCAGAGCATGTATGATGCTATGGGTGTGACGGAGATGGAAACAGTCAGGGTATATGTCTAGTGGACGGTCATCCAGACATATACATATGTTATATATTTAACTAGATCATTGTGACGTAGTTCGCGACCATTTTTTTAAACGACTTATAAACAATTGAAGTATTTAATGAAAAATATATGTATTAATTAAACGATTATTAAGTTTACCTTTTATATTACGATATTGTGAGTTAAGATTTTTAGCCAACGGTGGGTGTTCAAAAAATTAAATGAAAATTTTATACAATAAATAACAAAGGAAAACAATTTTCTTAAACCTTCTATATTTAAGTACTTTCCCGATTCATGTCGGCTTTATTTAAGCTTTTCTTTTCAACGTTGATTCGATTATTTTGCAGTAACCGCGATCTTTAGAAAACCAAAGGAAAGCCGTCTTCTTAAATATCAAAGTTAATTGTTAAATATAGTTTTATTTAAATATTACCGTCTCACGTGAACCTCAACAATCATTAATATCAACTATTGTCTGTTTTTATATTGGCTATGATCTGATTCTTTTCTTCAGTATAAATATTTCTTTCATAATAAGTAACTGCACCGTAGCTGTTTGTAAAACATTTTCTTTGTTAAAAGAATTACGTCTCGAGAGTTTTCGGAAGTGTTCCGCCGGATGCCCATTCTCAAGCTTTTTCCGGTCGCCATCTTGTGGGAAACGCGTTCGGTTTATGACTTCCGGCTCCTTTCGTACACAAATGTACTCGGTTTTAATAACGTATAATTTAAAACGCTCACAGAACATGTGAGCTTGTAGTAGACTAGAGTTTTTGAGACGGAGGGCGTCTGGAGTGGTAGAGGGTAGATGTGACTGTTACTCGTACTAGTTTAAATCATATACATTGTAACTTGTATATTATATTTATTTTCTATGTGACTAAAGTTCTTTCTCCTCGTTGTTTGTTTCAGATTCCAAGTCCGGCGCACCATGAGCCAGTGAAGTCACTCAACGAACGTTACATATCAAATATGCACTGATAGCTTACTCATAGGAATAATTATATATAATAATACGTTCGGATATAACATAACATTAGATAGAGAGTTTGGTATAGATAAGTTATTGGGAGGTGGTTATTGTATCTGTGTTAGTCGGGGCGGAGTCCCCGGCTCGACCGTGGAGGCCGAGGGGGCAGCCCTGCTCGGGCGGCTGCAGGGCGCGCTGCGTGGAGGCGCCGCAGCCGCTTCACCCTCACGAGTCGCCAGCTCCATCAGGGGCTTCATCACCAACAAGGTCGGCTCGCTCCAGCTGAGAGACACAGGTTAGAATTAACACTTTATAATACTTACATTGGATATATAAGGACCCTCAAAGTATGCTAGTCCCAATACACAATTCATCCTGCTTGAATAATACTACATATACTACAAAAACTCGTTAGGATAGGCAAGAATCTTCGAAAAATGATAGTCCAATTATCCAATTGATCCTGCTTGGATAAGTAAATGAGTTTATATATAATACTAGATATATGATAGCTAATGTTTGAATATAAACAATATCCTCCGGTGAGTCTGTCTGTTGACGAACGAAACAACAACATGTCAGACTTTGCAATGAAACCACTGCACAAACACTGCACCCTTGTGAACTAGTGTTAAGATAATAACGACCGTCCTCCTATGAGATACGATTTAATTTAGATTACACTTTAAACTGTTTGAATAGGCGATACTAACAAGGAACAAATATTGGTAATACATTATTAAATAAGCGGGAGATGACGTAACGGGAGCGGGAATAAAAGAACAACCCGGAGGGCTCGGAGTGTACGGAGAGTATGACGTACCTACTAGTGTTATAATATACACGAACAATTAGTACTCACTACATACAGTAAGGAAACAAAATGAATAGAAAATTATTAGTAGGCGACTTATACTGAGGAAGTATGTATGACTAGACGTCATGAAACATTGTAGGGACAGTTTACTTTGGAATTAAAAAGGAAAGAGTAATAAGACATTATAAATCTTTTGAAACAACGTAGAGAGGTAGATAATTATATATTTATTATGATAAGTATAACACAAGCTCACAAGTTAAATAAAGGTCATTATAATTTATTTGTGAACCAAATTTTGAATATTCCTTGAAATTTTTAACCCATTTTTATAATTTCACAAAACAATATATAAAAAAAATAAATAAATACAAAACAACAACATGGATCTACAACTATTTTGTATAATTTTAGAGAGAACATCTATCTATATTTCTGTGGACTTCATATTTACTGTTACAAATATTTACTTTAATATATTGATAACTCTAACTTTAAGTCACAAAGAGTCCGGAACACGTAGGATGTTATAGTTAATGATGGAAACCCGCAGACGATAAGTGAGTTTGTTATAACGGGTCTGATACAGACGGTTCATCACAGAATACACCACAGGAGTTGTAGACATCTTGACGGTTATAATTTAGTTGAACAAACCACATATTATAAATGTTACACAAAACGTATTAGTATTTTAACATTCAAGGTATTTTGAAACTGGAATCAATTTATTCCTAGTTTACATCTATTTAGCTTTGACTTCCAAATAAATAATGATCGATAACTCAAATCCACTACGACGCCTGAAATTAAAATTACAAGAACTACTTTCTAAACAATATTATACAACAGAAATGAGTTCTAAGTAATTGTGGAATATTTCGATTTAAAACTTAGTAAATACTGAATAAAGCTTACAAAAGTAGACGCGTAGTAAGGATAATGATATAAAAACAAAGCACCTGGGGGAGTGAGCCGGCTTGAATATTTGATAGCGCCCCGCGGAGACTCAGCCCGGGGCGGCAGAGAGATACATACATACACCATACAGATATGATAAAAGACATAAAAATATATGGATAAATATGAATATCGTCTACAACTGAACAGGTTAGCTGATGGAAAAGTATAGCTTTATCAGAGATTACAAATCAAATCATAATGTACAAATATATCAACATAGCAATCAAAAAGTAACTGAGGTTTACAATGTTAAATCAAGCTGTTACATAATACATATGTGTACTGGTATACATAAATTCAAGCTGTAGTACAAGCTATAAGCAGCTGTTCATATTTATATAGCTTGTAAACTTGTAAGTTATGTATGAAGGTGTAGTCAGCCCCAGCGGAGGTCGCGGTGGGAATTTCCATATCGATTTTTCATATCCAACAACCAAGTTTAGATTCTGTTATATATTTAGACATTATCCGTGTATTATGCTTCAAATATATTCGGTTTCTGAGGAAACTGTATTGGAATTTGAGATTGTTTTCCTCGTTTTATACAATATTATTATGAATATTAAAATGTGACTTACGTTTTATTTAACTTGTATGTATAAAATTCTATGAAAACTATACGGTATTTTTAGTTTCTAATAAATTAAAATATAATCTATAATCTATATAAATAAAGTTACATTTTTCAACAGTAGTGTCTTATTAATAATAAATACTAGTTATCTTTCCATTAAATATTTAAGTTTCAAACACTTAAAGAATACAATAAATATATTGTGATGTCTTTATTAAACATATTAAATTATTGAAGCTTATAAATACATCAATTTTAATAAGTACCACAAGTTTAAATCAATATTTTCTATAACATATAAAACTTGGTTGCTATGACAAATCAAGTGTGTCAGCATGTACCTATCAGCAAGTTCTAATATAATAATAATTGACTTTGATTTCTATGACAAAGCCTCACAGCCCCCTGTAAGGTCAACAATCAATGAAAAAACGATTTCCTTACTAATGGTCGCGAGTCCTCGTCAACCCACTCCACTCCACTGAATCGAATTTGTCAATAACTCATTAAATTGTACAAGGCGAGGGTATATTATAACAATGATAGAACATTTCTTTGTATATAATAGTGAGTGGTCGTGTGTCTGTACTTGTAGCGACATGCGTGACTGATGACTGCGATAGATTCATTTGATAATAAAATTACTTATAAATAGATCAAGTTAATGACTACATTCATCTGATATGAATTAGGAGATGTGTTTTCCGTGATTGTCACACTATATACCTATAACCTAACAGACGATCTTGATTCGTTGCTAGATGTATTAAGTCTTAAATTTTCTTAACAGTTCATTAGTATGGTATATTTTTTGTGCTGGTCTCTAATCGCGCGTCTAAACTCCTTCCCCACCGTTGCTGGTGCGGTGAGATTGTTCATCTCTAAATAGCAACCGTACAAATTCTAATCACGTCCCTGTCGTTCTGGCAATCAGCGCCCTTTGGCCCGCAGGCAATTTATTTACCCGTGACTAACGCACCCTTGTTGCCTAACATCTCCCTACATTTTACGAATCATGCAATTTAATAATTAAAACAGCAATTTTAGGACACGAAGGTAAGGGCAAGGTAAGGGTAGGGAAGGTAAAGGTAAAGTTATAGTGTAGTAGAAAAATATTGGAAAAGTAAAACGGGAGAGAAATGAAAAACAGAAAAACATACACGGCTTACTTTGACTGGGAAACTTAACAAAGGTTGAGAGTTTTCTGTGAGCTTAGAGTTAGTAACAACACTTAACGAAAATTCGCCATGACTTACGTACAGAACTTTTTTTTCATTTCATATCAAACTAAACAAAGTATTATTATAATCCGATGCAAAAAGTTGTTCCGAGAAAAATTTGTCATCATTATACTTAGGGTTATAAGTTTGAAAAAGTTATTTTTAAGGATTGCTCGAATACATAAAACTTGTTTAACTAATTTCTCAAAAACCTGTATTTGTTTGAAATATAATAAAATTCATATAAATGTACTAGTAGCTAGTTTCCGTACTTCCCTTCAATGTGTGTGTCGGGTGTCGCGCCCCCGGCCCCGGCCGCTAGTCGCTAGTATTGTTGCGGTCGGATATAACAAAGTCGTGCGGAAGAATATTAACAAAGGGGAAGCGGGTTTATTAAAACTGGGATTAAGTTTGTTGCTCCGGTCTCACAAAAGGTGGCTGATGCTCCACTTACAGGGAATTTGTAGTACTATTGATACAGATATAGATGAAATAACTTGGCTTCAAATCTTGATACTATATAAAAAAAGAAATAATTTGGGTAACTTATTCACACTTCTTAGTTTCACTTAATGTACACATTTTTAATAAAGTCTAATTATGGTATTCTATTCTGTCTGTACTATCGCCAAAACTATTTTCAGATATTAAATAAATCTATCAGCGTAGTAGTTGTGATAGAAGATATAAAATGTTTCTGAACACATAATTGTGCGTGCAATTTAACGTATAAAAATATTGTCGCAGCCATGAGATATGGCCTCGTTATGACACAATAATATTTGAAGGAGGTCCACCCTCGCTACGACATTTACAAGGCTTGCTGTACTTGGGATTCGACTTTTAATATATTCAGTTTATAGGAAATTTATATTATAAGAGATATGAAATAACAGAGAAATAAAATTTTTCATGAATACTGAAAAGTCATATAAATGATTTATGCATGGATTTTTGTTTTAATTCCTTGTAAATTACGTAAGTATCCATAGAAGAGATGATTATTTTCGTTGCTTTGTTAATGATTTATTACGATATATATTTTAAATTTAAGTTTCTATATAAAATATATTTCTTTCTTTGTATTCTCCCGTCTGTAGACGGCCTTAGCGATACACATGTTTCCTGGTCCCCTTGTTAAATTAGCCGTCAGTAACGCGAGAGGGTAGGAAGGGATGATTTGTGGCCATCCTGATAACGTTCGCTAATACCGAAGACACGTCCAACACCAACACACACACAGATTAAGATCACGGACTGTTACTACTGACGGGAACACACACACACACACACACACACACACACACACACACACACACACACACAGACTGGCAGATTATTATAATAGTAGAATATTATAACATTTGTTCGTAGTGAAAACTAAAATAAGATTCATAAGATTCAAAGTGAAACAAAATGAAAAAATCTAGGAAGGGGAGGACAGCATGGAATGGAACACGGGGATCCACTAGTGCAGGGTCATAAAAGGTTTTTGTGTGGGAACAGAGAATAAAATAAATGACAAATGTGGAGGAACAAATGGAACAAAGTGCCCATCACGTTCACTGGACAGTAAAGTGGACCAGCCCCCGTCTCCCCTGTCTCCTCCCCCTCCTCCCCCCACCGGCCGTTAGGGAATATATCCATCCATCTTATAGAGGTTTTACAACTACGTATCAAGATCTGTATCATAGTACTCTCTTATAAAGCAACGTAAAATATCTTCTTTACTTTCAGTAAAAAGTACACAATATTTTTACTCCAAGATTTTCACAGTTATTATATGTAACAATAGTGTTTTTTTTATATTTTATTTCAAAAAATAAATGTCTTTCGTTCCGTCACGAGTTAAACCCCTGTCAGAACAACATATAAAAGTCGGCTGACATTTTAGCGAACCTTTAAGTTCCCAAATTCAGTTTGGTAAAAGTTTATGAGTGAGGACTAACATTTACAACAAAAATGTTCCTAAAACAGTTTGTTAAAGGTTTTATGAAACAAAATATATTAATGTATAATATGTAGGAAAAATATAATATCTTTAATATTGAAATTCAGGTAGACAACATATTTTTCATACAAAAGTCATTATAATTATTTATTTTCTAATGTCTCCACTCTGTCATTGAACCGACTAGTTTGTTTAACAATAGTCAAGTTACAACATAATACGATATACTCGTGTTATCGCTATTTACAACAAACTACACGTATTTAGTATTAACGACATACTTTGAACAAAAATAAACCTTATTACAAATACATAAGTTAGTTATTTGTGTGAACATTTAAGAGGAATGGCTTCATCTGTGCGATTCTCCCCCGTGTTCTATTTTACGCAAAGCAATTACGTCGTCTCGTGTTCCACGGACCGTGGAAATTTAATGGTTGTTCCCCAATTAGTGGTTCCTTGTATATTACTATATTATCGTGATTGTGTAGCTTTTAAATATCACTCTTATAAACGACTTGCACACCTTTACTTGGGTTTCTCTTCATCTGGAATATTTTGTTTTTTATTTTCAATCAGTCGTCATATATTCAATCTTTATTAAACTATCCCTGTTGTGATTTTAGTTTCTATAAAACTCCCAAGCATATGAAGGGAGATATTGTTTGTTTTTGTTTGTATATTTACCTGCCGTCTATGTCTGTGGACATCTTCTAGTTTCTGTATTGTATAGGCTAGGAGGTGATATTAATTCTTCTAAAATATAAACATAAAAGTAATATTTATCATAATATAACTCTTTAAAACCTCCCAGCGGCCATCTGGTCTTATAAAGCGTGTATAAGGTCGTAACTCCTTCCCTCGCCACACTAACCCAAACTCGTCAAACGAGATTACTGTTGACTTAGCCAACTTTCCCCGGCGCTCCTCCGCCCCGGGGGACCCTGGCGATATAATCCAGTTTTGCCCATTCTCCCCTCGAAAATGGAAAGCAAAAAAAAAAGCAATTTATTTTCCCTTTTGCATTCTCGCGTTTACGTCTCTGTTAATAGGAATCTATTCGACGGCCTTTTTGTTGTTTTCGTTTGTTTTATAAAGAAATAGCTTTTAGCATCTCCCTCATAATCATGGGATACAGATACAACCTTTTATATCTTCAGAATTTTCTATTTAAGTGTTCATATTATATATTTATTTGCTCATTTTGAACTCAGTTCAGTATATACTCAGTTCTTGAGAGCTGGTATATAAAACAATGGGATCACGTGACAGAGTGAACACTTGTGATGTAGAGTGTGCTCTGAACAAAGGTCACGTGATCGTTGTAGAGTCGGCCGTGCTCTATCGACGAAGACGAGGCGCTCCAGGCACGGAGAGACGTTATACACAGCACTTGAAATATATTTAGGGTGCCCGAGGATGTGGAGTTAGAAAGATATTCATGTTATTTATATATACTATGGATTATAAAATACATATAACGAAGTATTTGATGAGAAGAATAAATAGTATTGGTTAACTTGACGTGAGCTTTAGTCGTAGCTCCTTTGACCTTTGTTTATTAATGAGCATGGTATGTTTCTACCCCTTCTACAAAGCGGACTGTAATGCTACATGCGACATTTATACCTATATTAGTTTCAGAAAATACTTAATATAAGCATTTTTTTTTAATTTTCTTATTGATTGATAATAACCTAATTGTATGGGGAAAAAATTAAACCCGTGAAGGATACGCATACTTTTTGACAAGACAAGATTCAACCTACGAGATATAACGAGATATTTTATACATGTGAGAAACTCATACAACAACTGTACTTTTATTTCGTGTGTGAGAGCTGAGAGTGACCGTATCAATGTTCTTCATTAACAATATAGCAAAAGTAACGTGTAGACGTAAAGCTTATTGAGATATCTTGTAAATGTATTGTTACATAACACTTACAAGATGGTGTGGTGTTGTTCGCCTCTGTAAATATTATTCCGTATATGGTATTTGTAATTCTGATACGGAGTTCTATTAATATTATAATTAATATTACTAACCGTGAAACATTACTAAAAGATTGCTAGCCGCAGATTTTCATTTTATATAATTCTACATTTGAAATTGTCACCATTTAACATTGATTTGTCGAGTCTGTTGAATACTCTCCATTTATAAAACATTTTAATCAAACGAAACATTCATCTGGGGACTCAAAATATTATTAATATTCAAAACAGTTATAAATTAGATAACGTATTCAGTGGACGGCTCTGAAACGACAATCCAACTGGACGCTAATTATTTAACAGAAACAGTCTGAGTGCTTTTAAAAAATTTATCTTCAGCCGACTAACAAATCCTCCCCGATCTGGATTTGTATTATATAAACTAACCTTTATTTGTATGAAGCTAAAGTTCAATTTGTCAAAAATAAATCAAATGTAGGCTGTTTTAAAACTAGACTCATTTATGTAGTCGTTAAGGTCTATTTTAGTTTGCCGTCTGTTGGCTGGTATCTCCTTCTCCCGCGGGACCGCTCGTCCCTTTGAAATTACCTCACCCTCGTTCACCTGCCCTTTGAAGACAGCGACTGTACACCCGCAGGTGATAATGTACACGTAAATCATTTGATAATCTGATTATTATTTTTTAATATTTATAGATTATAATAAATTTAACTGTTTTATTTTGAATAAAAATTAATATAAAGCGATTCATTTCACAACGATAGTAACACAAATTTTAATATTTATTTCATTTCCAATATTAGTGTATACTTTCATCATAGGACGAGCTAGTTCATGTTACAAGTTTAACGATAAATACCAATATATTGGTTACATTTGCTTACATATTCTCGTTTCGCTGTACCTACCCAGCGGGCGCGGTCCTCCATAGAAATTGCAATTTCATTTCATTCTAATACGTCTGTTTACCTCCAACATAATCCCGTTAGGGTCCGCTCGTATTTATATTAACATCACGCACCGACCTGCGCTGAGAACAACATCACATCAAGTTCTATCTCGACTTGAAGGAATTAAGATACTTCAGAATAAACAAACCACTCACAACGAGCTTGTAAATTACAAGAAGATAACAATATTATTAAGAAAAATGTGATAGTTTCAGATTTACTATGTGTTTTATATTAAAAACTACATACTCCCAAAATTTTGGTTAATTTGCTACATTCTCATCCGTCTGCCATGATCACGGTTGCTGTAAAAGTAACCAAAACATCTAGAGTATGTAGTAAAAATAATAAAAAAACTCGTTAGAGTTATATATTCGAAAATATTAGTTTTATTTCAATGAATTTTCGTTGAAGTTTTAGATATCATTATATTATTAGGAGAATTTATAAAAGACAGTAATACAGTAGAAGAAATATAACTACTCTTGATATTTCTCTAATAAATTCTGTATCTCCAGTCATCAGTAAAAACAAAAGTAGAATAAAAGTTGATCAATGTATGAATGCGGTAATACTTGAATTTACAGTAAATACACTTTATAATACAAAATTACAATCGGTTCCATGTCGTGCTTGGAGCTACGGCTACAGTTTATAGTTTAGGTCACAAACGGCGGTAAAAAAACTTTAATAATATTGTTTTCTTCGGGTTGACCCTGACTAGCGGCCTCACCCGGCCTCGCCCGGCCCCGTCCTTACCCCACTTACACAGGTTCATTTATTTCACCGTGTAACCCCACCGGTCACGCGATTCCATTTCCCTTAAACACTAAATGTAAGAAATAATTATGGCAGTCATTACTAACCTACTTCCCTAACCTCAAGAGTCATTTCTGTTACATAAATGTTCCGATAATAAAGAGTTTAGGAACATAAAGCGAGCTTGTAATGTTTTAATAAGCTTTTAGAAATATTTCTATAATGTAATGGTCCTCGTACACTCTCAACTTAGTTCCGAGCTCACGGCGGACCCTTGACCTACATCACACATACACATTACATGTGATATTTGTACAGAATTTTAAACTGGATTATACTAAACCATATTTTCTTAGTTTTATTTAATATTTATTTATATTATTAGTCATAGAATGTCTGTTGTCATTCTAATTAGTGTAATTATTTCGTTTCACTACTGGAAAAAATTTCTATTATTTAATATCAACCATAAATTTGCCGTGATGTTACTCGCCTCAGTAAAACTATGAGTGTGTACAACTTTTAACTATCTAACGAGACGGAGACATATATTAAAGTTGTGTATTACAACGTTACATGATAAAAATATGTATAAATATTTAAAGATCTGAAATCTATCCGATGATAAAATTATATACATGTTCTGACCTCGACAGTTGAGAGTCTCGTTCATCATAATCACATTAGAAGAAGGTGTACTGACGTTTAAAGTGATGAGCCATGGATAGTTATCGTGTCGCTTCTACGAACATGTAGTATACGACCATTTGTTATAATTGAAATAAAAAAAAGATTTGAAAAATCATTAATTATTATTCTTCACATGTTATTCAGTTGCATATTTTACATTTTTAAACATGATCTATCATCTCTGGTGACTAAAGTCCTCCAAGACCTGATGCATCTCAATATCGAACAAACTAAATAGCCTCAAATACTTCTGTTAAAATTGTGTTTGTTGTAGATTATACTGAAACAATTTATAAAACAGATTCCTGTTTAAATCAAGAGCTTCTCTAAACACTTTTCCAACAACTTTATCTTTGTATTTAACATCAATATTCTGTTACATGGAGCGTCTAACGACACTCCCCCCTCCCCGGCCCTCCTCCTCCCCCCTCTTCCGCTCACGTTTCAGGGTAACTTTTTTTCTTTTCATTGATATTCTGTAGTCATCCGTGCACTTAAGGATATCTCGTTCCTTTGATAATAGTAAATCCTTATCTCCGGGAACGTTAAGGGGTTTCTAAAAATTTATATTGGATAATGGGAGACGGATTTATGCTCTGTAAATTATACGGTCGTGACATTAATTATCATATTCTTTTTAAGAATCTATTTGCCAAATTTTTAGCTGAGCGAAAAAAATATTAATGCTCTCGACATTAATGTGCTGATAATTACAAAAAATACAAAACCCCAAAAATAGTATTTCACAAAATGTATAAAAAGCTTTCCAATTTGAGCTAAAATGGGGAAGGACCCTTTCTTTTAGTAATGAGTTTGCGTTCATGACAACGACGCTGCTTGACGACGCAAATTGAATTCCTACCAAATAAGTTGTTACACGAGTCACCGGAAACAAATTGTTTATTCACTGGTTTGGACCTTAACGAAGACAATATATTTTTTAAATTTTCCCGTGTCCTATATGTATTCGTATGTCAAATTAATAATTGTGGTGCTTTATTCAAAAGGACTCTGAATCGTCTTTGCGAGTTGGAAAAGTTGTGATTTTTCATATTGGGATAGAGGAACCATGTCAACTAACAGAAACAAAGATCGACTCATATTCCTTTTGAACCTCGCCGCCCGCTCCGGCGGCTGTATTTGTATCGTGTGACGATGAAATGATAACTAAATGATCATTTCTGTCTGTTGTCAGGTTCCGAAGTCCCATTCGAGGGTTGCGGCGAGTGGCAAGGCGTGTCCCATGATAAGTGAAGCGAGCGACGATACCATGCTCCACAGCCTCTTGAAATAATACGAATTATTGAGAAATTATATAAAGATATTTAGAAAAACTCCAAAATGTCGGAGGAACCGCAAACCGTGTGGCAAAAAATTGACAACGCAGTTATACCAGTGATTAATCTGGAGATTCGAGAGGTCCGCGAGATACTATGGGAGAAGATACAGGAACCCACGTCTCAAAGAAAGATCATCTTAGTAATAGTGTCTATAGCCCTCCTACTAGACAACATGCTCTATATGGTCATCGTACCAATCATACCAGATTATTTAAGATATATTGGAGCTTGGGGCGAGGCGGGCTACGATCACGTAGTCACGTTGCCGCCAATCAAGGAAGGAAATAGAACCATAATACCGACTAAAATTATACCAGCTTCTCATGAAGGCCAGGATTCAGCGACGGGAGTTCTGTTCGCATCCAAGGCGATAGTACAATTAATGATTAATCCCTTTTCCGGTGCCTTAATTGACCGCATAGGTTATGATATTCCTATGATGATTGGACTTATTATAATGTTTCTTTCCACTTCGATATTTGCCTGTGGCCGGAGTTATAGTATGCTGTTCTTTGCAAGAAGTCTTCAGGGTGTTGGATCTGCCTTTGCAGATACGTCCGGTCTCGCAATGATTGCTGACAGATTTACTGAAGAATCTGAGCGCTCAAAGGCGCTCGGTATTGCTCTTGCCTTCATAAGTTTTGGGTGTCTTGTTGCTCCCCCATTTGGAGGAGCTTTATATCAATTCGCCGGCAAAGAAGTACCATTCCTAATTCTGGCACTGATATCTCTTATGGACGGCTTTATGTTACTTCTTGTTATGAAACCGTTAAAGACACAAATGAAAGAGGCTTCCCAACCAAAACCGGCTGGAACTCCTATCTGGAAACTACTAATGGACCCCTACATCGCGGTATGTGCTGGAGCCTTAATGATGTCAAATGTGGCATTGGCCTTCCTGGAACCAACAATATCTCTATGGATGGAAGATAATCTGACAAAAGATAATTGGAAAATTGGTATGATTTGGCTACCAGCATTCTTTCCACACGTTTTAGGGGTTATTATAACAGTAAAAATGGCAAAACAGTATCCACAGCATCAATGGTTGATGGCAGCCGGCGGTTTGGCTTTAGAGGGCCTGTGTTGTTTTATAATACCATTTGCAAGTTCATACAAAATGTTAATGATTCCAATTTGTGGTATCTGCTTTGGTATAGCTCTCATTGATACAGCCCTCTTACCAACTCTGGGATACCTCGTGGATGTACGATACGTGTCTGTGTATGGAAGCATCTACGCAATTGCTGACATATCATACTCCTTCGCATATGCCGTTGGACCCATCATAGCTGGCGAGGTAGTGGAGGCTATTGGTTTCACAGCACTTAATTTGTTTATCGCCTTCAGTAATCTGCTATACGCACCAGTTTTAATATATCTGCGTCATATTTATGACTTCAAGCCGTTTGAGAACGAGGCTAATATATTGATGGCGGATCCTCCGGATAAAGAATATCAAACATACAGCATGCAAGATCAGAGACCAGTGAACGGTGAATTTAAAAATCATCTGGAGTACAGCTCCATGGGTGGCCAAGGGGATACCGTGCAAGAATCTAACGTGGATGGACAGCAATATGATTACCAAGACGGATATCAGAACTACTCGCAGGGATACGAACAGCAAGGTTTCCAGCAGCAGAGCTATCAGCAGGAAGGGTACAGTCAGCCTCGCCAGCTGCCAGCGCAGCCCCAACCTCCAGCCAGCAACCCCTTCAGAGCCGGGTCAGCCGCTGCCCCAGCCCCCTCCCCCGCCGCGGCGCCTACCCCCGCCCCGGCCCCCGGAGCCATCAGGAATCCATTCCGACAAGGCTTCTAGAGCAGTTTAATATTGTTGTCTGTATCTTTTGATTTACTTGTTGTGTATTTATAAATGTCTCATAGTTGATAAGTTCGATCACTGAGCCGCGACCAACTGGCAATGTTCTTTACTATCTCTACTAGTTGTCTATTATATCGTGCTTCTTATTATAACAGTAGTCGGTCTGCGGATCATTAATCAATTATTAATATTTACTTATTGTTTGTATTACGTCCTCCTACCGTCGTAGAGGACACACGGCTACCGACTGTGAAGACGCGTTTGTGTTATTTCTTGTTGATATTGTACTGTTCTCTTGTAAATGTTGCGTCTTATAAAACTAGAGGAATATTAATATTATATAAAGTATATATTCGACTCGGTAGCGAGTGTTTTAAGGAAGTGTTTTAATGAAAACTAATTTATATGAAAGTGTGTGTAGCAAACTATATTTATATATGTACATGTACTGTAAGACATTTTATTGTAATTCTCAAAGCAATTTAAATAACTTTTTAAATTTTTTAAAAATAGTTAACTATTATCGTGACATATCTGTGAGTTATAAGAAATAATAGTATCGTCTGAAGCGCAACACTTAATATTAGTATAATGTGAAAATTACAGTCAGCATTCTGACTACATTCCAACTAACGAGATGTTTATAAATGAGATATATAGAAAAGGAAAGTGTACCAAGATCGGGAGAGAGCTATTGTACACTATACACTATAAAGACTAAATAAATAGTCATTGAATGATAAAAATTCGAAAAAAAAATGTTACATATCAATGTATCTTAATCACTATGAATATTAATCAATGTTCTGGTGGAGCAGTTCTCATGTTGACTGTAATTTCTCGTATTGCCTCTGTACATAGCGGCACTTGGATTCACAGAACAATATATAACACGTCAAGTGGCCACTTGTATATATCGGCACTTATTACAATTAGGGTTGAACTGTATTGAATCTTATTATACACGGCCAGCGAGCGACAGCCCTGTAAGTCCGCGTTATACCGCGTTATAACGCGAGCGGTCGTATCTTCCATAGCTTCAGCAATATCAATTTCACTTAATATAATCGTAAGTATCGTAGGTAGGCATCAACTTGTGATAGTTGCAACCAAGGTAACGAAACATATCAGAATCTTTTGATTCATTTAGCTTAAGGAGTTATTTATTGTATTATCTTGTGTAGTGACTATTGATGTTTATTATATTTAATATTGTATTGTAAATTAGCGTTGTGACATATATAGTTTTGTGGTCATTCGGTGGGATATTGAAAAAATACTCAAATGTAATCACATATCTTGGACTCTGATATTTAATGGTCAAAATAATATTATATAAACGCGTATAATCATGAAATTAATACGTGAATCTTCGTTCTAATCAAATATCATCTTATGTAGATAATTGAATGAGATATAAGTTTTTGTTCAGAGTCAAATATACCTTAATAATATGAAGCCACCGCAATGACCTCTATCAAACAGACTCAGATGTACAACAGTAAAATTGTAAAGGTTATTGTACAACATGTAGCGACGAGCCCGACATGTCAATTGAAACGTGTGTAATGTAAACTATTATTATTATTAATATACTTTACACGATGTATAACGAGCACTATTAAGATGTGTGTACATTTGTACGTTTTAAAGAAGTGAATACATCGTGTGTGGTTTTAAATAAAAGTAAAATATAATGTACAATACACAAACTGATATTAAATTAAAGAAAAGTTTGAAGAAATACGATTTATTAAAATTATTAAACTAATGAGAACGTACAAATGTATACGCAGACAAATATTTTTTTGACAAAGTCGATTGAGTAATATGTTAATCGCATTATTTGAACGTGCCGTTAGTTGTTAGGGCGACCTCACGAGCGGGCTGAGAGCACATTACTTTACGAAGCACAAATATCATTTACAACTCCCGGGAGTGCTCCTCAGATAACTTATTAATATATCAAGGATCAGTTTTATTAAAGTTACTACAGCTGTAAACGTTTATCACAAGTAAAATGACAACTGATAGTAAGTGACTCGTGTCCTCAAAGCGAGTCAGTCAGTCCAGTCCACAGAGCGCTCCGGGAACACTTAGATATTTTCGCTATTTATAAATTAAGATTAACTATTATTGAGGTGTTTTAAAGTCCGAAGAGATATTATTTAATCGTAAGTTAAGTCAATTTCGTGTCAAATTCTCCCGAAATTCAATTACTTAGTAGATTATCGCTGAGGTGTCCACTGACGCTTGTGTTGCCTGGATTTTGGTATTATGGACCGTAGCTCTCTCGTTTTATGGTTTAGTTTCGTTAGTTTCGATTCGTCAATTAAAGATCAATTCGAGGATATATTATAGTGTAGTGTAGTCAAAATCCAGGGCATGACGCGTGTAGCCGGCTGTGAGCTCAGTGGAGACGTATTGAAACACGTCTTGTTACTTCAAACCTATATCGAATACATATCATTAGATGTAAGAACATATACAAACTTGATGTAAAATATACGTGTCGCACACTAGCTCGCTTACTATAGAGAAATAAGTGTAGGAATAAATATACTGTAACTTATAAACATATTGTAACGCGAAGGAAAGAATAACGGAAATATTTATTACCAACAAATGATTGGACTGTTGAGACAGAACAGAACCGGATAGAATTATAAAACAGAAGAATCAAAATTAATATTATGTTTTAATATTTACCATAACATTGGATTAATCATATCGAATTGATATAATTTATTTTCTATATACGGAATTGTGAATTATCTTCGTATATAAACATATCTATTGTATCTCCTAACTCTCCACATATCTGTCTGTTGATCTCTTTATAAATATTCTAGTTAATCTTACTTATATTGTCTCGAACTTTAACTGCATACAGGAGTTATTATTAAGCCTCTCCTTCTATCTCTTCTTATATTCTGTCTCTAGTCTGCAGTTAAACTTCCTCTTTAGTTGACAACCCGTCCGCTAGTCCTACGTCTATTTCTATATTCCAATTAAAATTCTCACGTATTTTTCGAAATTTCATTGAAATTACTTTCAAATCATATATTGAGTAATATTCATTTGCTTTTGGTGTAATCGTTGTGAGTAGCGAGTTTTAGCTCATACAAAGTTATTTCGTTTCGTCTCCAATTAAAACTGGGGTTAGTACCTTGAAACGTATTTGTGGATGTGTGAGTGTGTGTAAATTTCACACATGCAAACATATATATATATATATATATATATATATATGTAAAGGGTATATTTCTGTTCATTTATTTGTATTCAGTTATGATTTGTCAATTATTCTTTAGTTAAATATCATTGTGTATATAAAGTGAGTGTGGCCGCGTCTAGTGTTACTATATACAACATATCTATCAAGGATTAATGTTGAAAGCTAACACTTAAATTGCACATTTTAATATCAACTTTTAATATTAATTAATAGTTATCATAAACATATCTTTTAACGAGAACGATTCAATGATTAAGAGTTCGTTAATATATTAATAAAATAATGTAAATATGCTTTGTTTATCGGTCAGCTAGTCACTGTATTTTGAATCGATTTCTTTCTATATCGAGGCCTCATTAGTATTATCTTTATGTATATAATAAGTATATCGCTCTGTACTTTGTGAAATTAAAAAGCTTGTGTATTAGACAGTTACACCACATAATATGTTTGAATCACGTCTCCTTGTTTACTAGTATTTCTATTCTTAATCGAGGATCTGTTGAGATGTTTCTGCTTTCTAATAATATTCTTCTATCAAACATTGTTAGTTATAATACATAACTGTAATCACTAGTTCGTTAAACCGTAGTATGTTTATTCAGTAATAACTATTATTCATACTGTATTGTTCGTGGTTCTTTTCTTTGACACTAAGTGTCATTGTATGAGATGACGTTCAATATAGATGGTTTGAAACATCTGTATCGTGTTATGTAAGTAGATTGTAAAGAATTATATATAAGACTGGTCTGTTGACGAGAGATTAAGAAAATGATAGAATGAAAGAACAGCTTCAATATTACCTGAGATTAAATGTATGATGGAAAGAAAAAGAAAAAACATTTAAAATAAATACAAACAGTCGTGTTATAAGGAGATCTATTATAATATAAAGAAAGTGTCACAAACAGTATCTGTGAATACTTTGTCATTGTGAGAATATTGTCGTAGTGTCAACAGATCAGTCTCAGTAGACGGTAGACAGTAGACCGTAGCGAGTAGACAGTAGAGGGTAGTATATAAAGTGAATGTAAGAACAGAAGGTTCTATTTAATATATGTAATGTGATCGAAATAATTCAGTGATCGAATATAATTGTTACAACAACATGTGTTTATTTTTATATCCTCTCATTGAAGGAGGAGCCTTCACACCCACCACCTCACATCTGGCACCTGGCCTGGAGACAGAGGTGGAACCCATAAGAAAAATATTATAATACTATGTCAAACCATCAATATGAACAACAAACAAAAACTAAACAACTAAATGTTACAGTGTGAACTAACGAAGTTCATTATTGTTTTAGTTAAAAAAAAAAACAATTATGGCTTTAGCTTGATTTTATAATAATCATATATTATTTATTCACCTTCAATTCATCTGACCGCCACATTTTTAATCAATAAAACAAACATAAAAATACTCCTTAAGTTTTCTCCAAAAGATACTATCTATAAAAGTAATGCCTTGAGCTTCAATTAAGTACTTGTAGTGTTACCACATACAATATGAAGAGTGGTTGAAATACAATCTGCTCACGACGAACCTTAAACAATAATATAAACAGGTTAACAACTCACATTACTCAGAGACCTGAGCTGTTCCTCCACCCCTCATGCAAATCAACCTATTAAATCGCGAATCGATTTCTTTATACCACCAAACAATATTAAACTTTGTATTCTTTAAAATAAAGATCAAATCACTGTAACGTATTTACTATGTCTATACCAAAACATCGCCGTTGGAATGT